CATTCAGAGCAATAACATGTCAACAAAAACAAAGTCATAGGATCAGGTTTGGATCTGATTTACACGTGAACAGATTTCAGTCAGCTGCTGTTTATGCTTCACCTTTCAGAGTTTTTGTTGTATTTCTCACCTCAAAAGAAAGCGTGACTCTAAAGTGTGNCCCACCTTCCTCATAGTTTTTTAACAGATCACGGTTTCTGATGTAATGGTGTTTATTTTTCCAAATGAAGTTAAAATTTATTCTGTTAATTTCCTTAATGAGCTTCGGAGGGACAGCTAGAGAGTATGCTGGATATATCAATCTGGATATAGATTTTGTTTTTGTCAACAATGTTCTGCCAAATAATGTCAGGTCTCTTTGAAGCCAGTTATTCAAGGTTTTTCTACATTTGCCAATATTATCTTCCCAAGTCTTTTTCTCACTAGTATCTTTGCATTTCGTAATCCACATTCCCAAGTATTTGATCTTTTTTTTTGACCGGTATATTGTAAATTGTAGAATCCGAACAGTTGTGAATACTCATAATTTCACATTTATTTAAATTTAACTGCAAACCTGAGGCTTGGGAAAACAACTCTATTTCCTTTAAAGCTGCTGGTATCTGTTCTTTATCCTTTAAGAAAAGTGTTGTATCATCAGTAAATTGACTTATGATTATTTTATGGTTATTTATATCTAGCCCTTTAATGTTAGAATTTTTTATGGTTATTGCCAGTAATTCTGTGGCCAATATAAATAGAAGAGGAGAAATACTACAGCCTTGTCTGATTCCTCTCTCTACATTGAACCTGGGACATGTGCCGTCTGACAGAGAAACACAGCTATTAATATTAGTATTTAACATCCTAATCATAYCCACAAACATGTTTCCAAATCCAAAGTGTCTCAGTGTGTTAGCAATAAACGTATGTTCTAAGGAATCAAATGCTTTATGGAAATCTAAAAACAAAATAAAGCCATCATCTTCTAATAAGTGACTATATTCAATAAGATCCTGAACCAGGCGGATGTTGTTGTGAATAGATCTACCTTTTAAAAAGCCAGATTGTGTCATACTAATTAACTCAGATAATCCAGATTTTAATCTTGTTGCCAAAACTGTTGTGAGAATTTTGTAATCTGTGTTTAAGAGTGTGATTGGTCTTAAATTATACTCAGAAGTATATTGAAAGTATTCTAAGTATGGTTTTAGTTTAATCTTGAAATATACTACAAATAAACCAGTCTGTGTGAAAAGTGTACTACTAAAGTTGATCTTGACCAAAAGTTTAAACAATAGTAAGTATACTTAAACTTTTAGCATACTTTTAGTACAAGCCAAGTATGGTGTAAGATAAACTTGGTTAAGTATATCTCAGATAGGTACTTAAAAAGTAAGCTGGAAGTATATTTTTTATTCTAAGTTTAAAATTAGTATACTTAATGGATACTTGTATATTTTTGCTAGCAATTAATGCTCAAGTTTTAAGCATGGATCTTCTGCATTGAGTAACCCTTGGAGTAAGTGTTGTGACTGACTCACCAACAAACACTAAATCTTAGCTAAACATCTGTAAAGCTAACGGCGGCCATCTTGAATCAGGGAGGCTCCAAAGAATGTTCAGCTGTAGTTCATTTGTTGATTACAATCTGAGAGCTCATAACAGGAAAGTGCTTAACTGCTTGCTTTGCAGATGTGAAACACTGGACTTTCCCTAAAAGATAAAAAATAACAATAATGAATCACTAAATACCCTCTGCAGGAAAGAAGGATTCATTCCACACTTGATAAAGTTTGGTACGACACCTCTGCACTTTTTATTTCTACGTCTTCAAAAGAAAAAAACAAAACAACAGTAACACACGTGACCTGGCTCTGAAAATGTAAGATGACTAAATGAGTAATTCCAACCTGCTAGAGATTAGAACATAAACATAAACACGGAGCTGTGGGTGGGACGTTACATCAGCTTGCTCACATCACATGCTGGTTTCCATTGAGGGCCGGACCAGAACAGACCCAGATCACAGTCAGAGCGAGGTGCCCTCGTGAAGAAAACCAACATCTGGATCTGGAAACATTTACACAATTCACTCTTTGTGGCGAGGAGGTGAAAGGGTTAAAAAAAAAAGGGTGATATAACTGTGTGAAGAAAAACAGAAAACCTACAAATAAACTGAAGCGACTGTTTGACCTCCTCTTACAGTCTAACATGGCAGAGTCACTTCTACAGGCAGATTATTCTTGTTCTGATTTTAAAGGTGACAGATTTGAGTAACACACATACAATTAAACACACACACACTTGGCACAAAGATCGATTAGTCATTACTCAGTAAAACATCCAAATAAAGACGTAGTTTCATAAACACTGAATGAAAATAACCTCCCGCTGTTATCTCTCAGATCTGAGCTGTGGCTACAAGTCAAGACAAACAGTTAATTGTTTTTCCAACATGAACAACACATGATGGTGTTTAATGTTTTGCTACATTTTGGCTCTTAGGTTTTAAAAACTATCACATATGACAAAATTAATTTTACCTGTCGATAGCTATTAATACAGCAAAACAGCAATAGCATGATCATCTCCAAGGAACAGGAATTCTGAGCTACATTTTTATATAAATTGAGACTCTGAAATGATGTAATGTATATATA